CACCCTGTGAGGTAAAAGAAGAAGAAGAGATTGGATTTCTACCCCGCCCTTCACTCCCCAAAGGAGTCTCAGAGCGGCTAACAAACTCCTTTCCCTGCTCCTCCCCACAACAGGCACCCTGTGAGGTAGGTGGGGCTGAGAGAGCTCTCTCAAGAACTGCCCTAGAGAGAACAGCTCTGAGGAAAACTTGTGACTGACCCAAGGTCCCATCAGCAGCTGCACGTGGAGGCGTGGGGGAATCAAGCCCGGTTCTCCCGGATTAGAGCCCGCACTCCTAACCACCACACCAAACTGGCTATCTCCTCTTGAAGGGCAGCAAGAGGAGGATCTTTCACCCCTTCTCAGTCACGAAGCTCAATGGATAACTTCGAGCCAGTTAATACTTCACAGGCCTCTTTTGAGTCATGGATACAACCCCAGCCGCTCGACTGCAACCCACTGTTTGGTATCTTCAAAAATGATATAATCACACAAGAAGCTGCCCTATCCTGAATCAGACCTCAGACTGGCACTGACTCTCCAGGGGTCTCCGGCAGGAGTCTTTCACATCAGCTGTCACCGCAGACTTTAAACTGGAGATGCTGGGGATTGAAACAGGGACCTTCTGCGCGCCAAGCAGGGGCTCTGCTACTGGAGCCACAGCCCTACCCCGTAATTCTTCTTTAGCAGGAGGTAAACCCCTAACACAGGCGTTCCCCATAGACCAGGGGTGTCAAACTCATTTGTTACAAGGGCCGGATCTGATATATATGTTACTTTATCGGGCCGGGCCACGTGTGCCTTAAAATGTAATGCTAGGTATTGGAGATATCTCCCCTATAAATAAAAGCCGAATGGTGGTGGCACTTCTCTAGAACATTCCACACGCTCCAAAATCAGTTCGCTCTCTGATCTGTCATTCAGAAGGGTCTCCCTATCCACTGGCTGCTTTGCCTGAGTCCTGCCTCCAACATTCTAAACATGTTGCAGTTCCTCTCCGCCCCATAGCCAGTCAGAACACAGAGGTTATTTGCATATGCAGCCTCATTGGCCTCTGCCTCGGAACACAGAGGTCGTTTGCATATACGACTTGATTGGCTTTTGCCTCTAACATTCTAAACAGTTTTGCTGTTCTGAGGTAAAATGTGTCCAATCTCTAGGTGAGGGCTGGAGATCACTCAGAATTCCAACTGCTTTCCAGATGGCAGAGATCAGTTCCCCCGGAGAAAATGGTGGGCTCTGTATCCTTATATGCTGCTGAGGTGGCCCCCGTATGACAGCCAATGTGACGTAGAAGTCAGGGCTTCAGAGCACGGGAGAGGCTGCAGGTGTGTGGGGGGTGGAAAGCTGAAGAGTGAGGGGGAAATAAAGGTAGGTTGATGATTGGCTGGGAAGGAGATAGGGTTGCCAACTCCAGGTAGGAAATTCCTGGGGA